TCCTATTAGAAAAAACAAAACGCATCGAAAAAAAAACGAACCGGTAAATTTTCGTTTGATTTTCAAACACCCAATGTCAAAAATTTACACTATTTCAGTTCATAATATTTTCAGGATCAGAATCAGAAATACTGAAATTCTCATCGAAACTTGAGAAGTTTGCGGTTCTATTGCAATGGATAGATAAAAATATTCTGTTAAAAAATGACGAAATTATGAAAGTTTTAGCATTTTTCAGTAATAGACAGTGGGGGTTTGCGAGTTTAAGTCATTAATTCCAATTGGTTTACAGGCTATTTCAATTTGTTTTTATTCCATTTATTTATTTACTTACTGATTGATTGATTTTTGAAATTGATAAAAATCTATACCATTTACTTTATTTATTTAAAAAAATATGTTTATGTTTAAATACATGCATAAAATACTTCTTCAAATTAGTTTTTAAGCATTTTTGCGTTCAATAAACTTTCTGTCAGCTAAAAAAATAAAATTAATAGGATCTAATTTTTTATAATCAACATTGTGAAATGATTGACCTAAATATGCCCTCAACAGAATTAAAAATATTTTTCAGAACCCTGCGAAGTCATAGAACAAAAGTCCTAATGTTAATATGTAGTCTACGATTTGATTGATTGATGAATGATTAAATAAAAAAATATCGGTACTTTATAAAAAAAAACGCTTATTTGGTTTATAAAAAGCTTATCACTTCTTAGTCCTTGATTGATTGTTACTTGTAAAGTATTTATTTTAAATTAACTATGCTGATTAGAATTTAGGTTTGCGGCTACGGGTCGGACACTTCATGAAATAGGGGTCTGGTAGGAGTGTTTAATTGCCCACTAATGTGTCGGGGTTTGGCATCTACCAGCTTGTCAGAATATCTTGTCGGTGATTGGCTCACAACAGAGCGCTGCCTTGCCTTAGAGAGCCGAAAAAGTGGCTGGGTACATTATGTAGAGTGACCACTGACCATCCCATTGATTATTACTTTTTTTAAACATAATTTTGAGTTTTAAGAACTCATCATCATGATAATTTAATACGGTTAGAATGAAATCAAAAATTAATCACATTCGCAAAAACAACCGCACATACAAATAAATATGCTTGTACTGAACATGTTGACCCGCAATGTACACAATTAGAATGCTGTTGGTAAGACTGGCAGCCATATGTAATCCACCAGAAATAAAAATAATAAACTTATTTTTCAATTTATTCATGTTTCAAACCCTATTAACATAAAAACATGAAATACTTATTACAGCTGTAATGTTTTCCAATAGTTTGAACATAAATATTTAATTTTAGAGATCCATTTTTTATTTCGACATATTTTTAAGCTGCAAATTTGTGGCATAAATTTGTAAGTTTTTGAAGGCGTATATATTTAATCGAAGCAAAATGTGTAATTTCACCATAAAACTAGATGCGTTTGAAAAAAACGGACTAGTTATCAATATTTTAAAGTAATCAATTTCATACTTTTATTCAAATGACTTTTTGTACGATTGTCATCTCTGATTTTGCAGTCTAAATAAAAACATCAGTATGTTTTTTCCGCATCACCTCACAAAAATATCCAATACACTCATGTGCTTAAATTGAATGTCATTTACATGTATTCGAAAACATCACAAGACTGTTTAAAATATTTCAGTGAAACATTGCAGTTAAGTCAGTTAAAACCTTATTTACAACTTATGTCATTCATATATCATGTTACATGCACCTTATTTGCAACACCTTATGCCACAAACATAAGTTGCAAAGAGACTCCACCTTCTGCGCTTTTAAAGGTACAATGAAATTTTATATACGGTGCGTTGTCCATAATTTAGACCGTCTATTAGTCACACTAAGGTTGTTGATACTCGCTGAGAAACAAATGGTGTTGCTTGGGTAGATGACCAACCCGCAGCGACTCACGAAGAGCTACTAATTCCGATCCATAGCATAGCGGTGCAGCTTCTTCCTCCTTTGATGTTTGCTTATGTGGGCTCTGCAGCTCGCTGCTTGCAGGCAGCCTTTCGTTGTTACTGGAGAACAATTTTCAACGCCACACGCCGAAAGCACTGCTACTGCTGCTATTGCTGCTACTAATTTCGACGACCGAACACCACCGTGGTGTGGTCGTTGGGAGCGTGTGGTTCTGAGAATGGCGATGAGTGTGCAAAATATTACGCAATTCCATCCTCCCCATTCGCACGCGCCCGAGGACCAGAGGCGAATGCCACTTCGTCTACTTACTACTCTCTGACGACTGTGCTGGGGAAGCAGCATATGCATGTACACAGCAACAAAATAATTTTGATATCACGTCAAAGTGGATGCACTACAATCATGTCGAAAATATGGTGTAATATTACTTGCTAAAAAGGACGAAATTATCATTAATACAATGCATGAACTGACATTACGCTGCTTTTACTGCATTTGTTTATTTATGTGGTCATAAAAATTACATGAAATTTTCGACATGATTGTAGTGCATCCACTTTGATGTGATATCAAAATTATTTTTTTGCTGTGTAGGTAATTGGTGGATTTGTTAGTTAATTCGACGCTTTTGGACAATGCTGGACATTTACCAGTTTTTCAATAGTTTTTTGTTGAAATTTAACATTTGGAAGCATTGTTATCGATGCGTAGCCATATTTCTGATCGATTGGTGATAAAATTATTGAAATTGGACCAGGGGCAGCTGAGTTATTAACGTTCAAAGTCTTTCTTAATTTGTTACATGTTCCATTTTCGGTTTTCACAAAGTGTACCCCCATATAGAAATCAAAGACGTAGTCCTACGTCAAAATGGGAAATACTGGTTTTAATGTAAAAATTTACACTGGTGGTTCAACACATTTTTGCGGAACACAACTACAAAATATTGTTTTCTCTGATTACGCTTAAAAATTAAAAAATTTGGAAATAAAATCAACTCTCCATACATTTTTGTATTAACATTATACAAAAAAAGGGTGATACGGTCAAAATTTGGTCAATATCAAGGTGGGTGGCGCCATTATATTAGTGAAATTAAAACTGACAGCATTCAGTGATTCATTAACATTAGTTATTGTTTTAAAAAAACATTTAAACCTTTTATACCGAAGGAGAGGGAAGATATGAGATGGATAATAACTAGGTAGGTCATGGCCTTTCATACACATTTCCTGACAGTTGGTGAAAGGTCATTTTGGATTCAAGCTGCTGCACGGGCAAGTTGGACATTGATAAGCTGCGTCGTGGGTGATTTGCCCATAATTAACATCGGTGGATTTTCACAAGAGGAAGAGATGAACAAGGTTTTTGTAAAATGACATAGTCATGCTAGTATCAAGGTTGCAAAGACTCATTTCAGCTAAAATAATGTTTTTCGGAATAATAAAACCAAAAGATGGTATGATGGCATGTTTTACTTGTAACTTACAAGAAGAGGTTACAAAGTATGCGTTGGAAACATAAAACCTGTAAATTTTGCTTTCTATGAGTCACAATCAGCGATTTGCTGATCGCTGAGTGAGTGAGTGAGTGAGTGAGTGAGTTTGTGAAAAATCGCTGATTGTGACTCTCATGAAGTGAAATAAACAGGTTTAATATGCCAAACACATTCTTTGCAACCTCTTCTTGTATCGTACCAATTCAAAATTTGATCATGGCATCTAATTATTTCATAATTTAGAAAAACATTGTTTTAGCTGAAATGAGTCTTTGCAACCTTGGCTAGTATAAGTTAAAATATTAGTAACAGTAACAGTTACAGTTATAATCCGGATAATCGTTCCGTTAGAATTATGTTGGCCAGAATTTTGATTAAGGTTTCTATCAGCTGTAATAGCAGCGTAGATAACTCCATTTACTCGCTGAAAATTGTTAGCAGCATGTATAGATGAAGAATTTGAAGCAGAAGGCTATTTGTACCTATTGGTACAAATGTAGAATTTGTTCCTCGCTGACCGTCGTTAACAGCAGAGAAATTAGTAGGTACCTGATCGGGCACATAGGAAAAAAATCTTAATCGTACTGGTGATTTAAACATCAATGCATGAAAATATTCATGCACGTAAACTTCTTTTTCACGTAAACCACCAACTGGCAAGAAATGTTGCTTTCAAAGATGGACGGTTGCATACAATATAGAATATATCATTAAATGTTTCATAAATTTACAAGATCTATAATGTAATCTTGTGTGATATATGACGCTCCATTTATGTGCATCATAGTAGTAGAAATTTACACTACTTTTTGGAACTGTGTACGCAAAAAAACATGAAAATTTATTTAAAATTTGAGCTAGTTACTAGGACCAAAAACTGAAACATTAGTGCAATAACTGCCTCCCCTACCCTAGTCAATTATGGTTAAATTGTTCTGTAACAGCTAAACAAAATCCACTATGGCGATAACTGGGGCTGCCAGATTTCTTTGCCGGCTGTGTTCCACTTCATCGAATGCGAAAAATAGGGCACATTGCATTTTTTGTATGTGGTTGTGAGTACAACTCCATGGAATGCTGAGATGAACTTCATGGGAGTTGTTAGCAGAAGACGATGAAAATTTGAAGTATATGATCAAAGATAATTTGGAGAAGAATTAGGAAGTAGCTCTAAAGAGGATTCAAAGGTAATTCTAAAAATAATTTACTGACAATTCAAAGGCAATTCTTACCCCAACTCTAAAAAAAATGTTTCAAGAACTCAATCGGTAATGATGATTCATCAAATTATCAACTTCTTGATTACCACTTTTCTTGCAAAATCATTCTATCATTCGAACAACCTTCGAACAACGGACACCCACAAGATCGAAAACTATATCATATAGGTAAGAATCAGCATAGAATCATATCGAAACACCGACCGTAATCTTATCGGCTCGGTTGGCCTACGTTAATAACGGCCACTCCTAATCAACAACGAACGAAACCGTTAGCGATTGGTGTCTTATCACCTTATTGAACTCCCGCTGCGTTATCAAACCAGATCCGTGGATACTCAGTCTCGAACTAGGTGCCGAACGGAACAGTTGCAGCTCAGTCGAATCAACACACACTTTCAACATGCCGATCACATTGTACTATGCCCCGATGAGCCCTCCGGCTCGGGCCGTGCTTCTGCTGATTAAGGAATTGGGACTGGCGGGAATTAAGGTACGTTAGGTTCTTCATTATACCATTGAAAAAAGTATGATAATAACAGTCGATGCCAAATTCAGTTGAAGGAGGTGGACACCATGGGCGGTGGTACCAGGACCGAGGAGTTCCTCAAGATGAACCCAGAGCACACGATTCCAACGCTGGACGACAATGGCTTCTACCTTTGGGAATCCCGTGCCATTTTGACCTATCTGGTGGATGCCTACCGTCCGGGACATGAGCTCTATCCGAACATTCCCAGAGAGAAAGCACTCATCAACCGTGTGCTGCACCACGAACTGTCGTCATTCAACCCGAAAACACTCGGTCAGATGATTCCATTCTTCCGACGTCAGACATCGGTGGTGACCGATGAGATGAAGGCCAAGATAAACGAGGCATTTAGCAATTTGGAACTGTTCCTGATCCGAAACGATTGGTTCGCCGGGGAGAAGGTCACCATAGCGGATCTCTGTATTTTGCCGACCATAGCCTCGATGGCGGTAAGTGAGCGACGGCTAATCAGGTGATGAATGTGATTACAAAATTTCGGATTCGCCTTCTAGCATGCCGGATTTGATCTATCGCCGTACCCTCGACTGGCCGCCTGGTATGATAACTGCAAGGTGCTTAAGGGCTATCAGGATGACGAAGCAGCTGCACAGCAGGTTGGAGGCTTTTTCAGATCGCTCGTGACCGAGGGACTGTAGAGATTGTGTGAGATAAGATAATCACCGAATGCCGCACACACGTATTTTGGAGTTATGAACGAACGCTCACGCGCGATTTAAATGTAAACAGTACAATTGAACCGATATTACACACTTATCAGACCGACGATGAATTACTGATAAACGAACCGCCGATGAGTTTGCTGTTACCCCTACAGTTCGAAATCCACTGACGGGGTGGGGTCAGGAATTTGTCATGGTTAGGGTTGCAAAAAAAATACACGAATCCTGTTGGTCAATATTTTTTCATTCATACTCTTGAATGTTTCCGGCATAGACTTCGTATTCCTGGATTTTGAACTTGAGGGCATCGCATGTGCCTTAAATTCCATCATCTGAATTTGGATTCTTCAAACATTGTCGGAATTTAAATATGGAAGATGGGTTAAATCCATAGATTGACTGATTCAGGTATTTCATTTTTGATTCATAATCTAACTATCCGATGTGCAAGAAGCGTCAATCCGCTTGTGAAAGATCCATCGCAGAACAGTTGCCAGACACTTCGGCAACCGCTTCCAACCGGGAGTATTTGAGCATGACCAGTTCATAAGTGAAAATCAATGCTACAATCTAAACGCAAGGAGAGCAAATCCCATTCAATTACTATTTAGCTATTGCACACAATCACACTTTCTGCCACTCACAGTGAACACAGTCCGATGAGTTAAATAGAAGAACCGCTTTCCGGAAAGTGCTCCCACTTCCACCCGCAGCTGCAGATAGTACCGCTCCAGCTGGAATCAAATTAAGAGAATTATTATTATTGTTTCCATTGAACACCGTCCGACCACTTCAAGTTGCTCACATCCGTGCACCAATATTCACTGGGAATGCGATGCACCGCCCTCCGGGCGCTCCTTATCTCTCGGTTCAGATTGGCAGCCATCAGCAGTGTCGTCCAGGTGCGACCAATTAAGAAGCCAAGAGAGTAGCAACAGTAGACGAAGGATATTGCGAAACGGTTCTGCCTGGTAGGAGCAAAAGAGGATTAGGGTAAACGCTCCTATTGTTGCGGTACGTTAGAAGCGATAGGTTCCAATAGTTGTGTAGGCACAACTATAGAAACCTAACGCTTCTAACATACCGCAACTATAGGAGCGGTTTCCCTACTTTCCAGGAGAAGAAGCAAGTGACCGAAATAGAAATCTGTTTAGGTGGGCACAATGTCTAATGATGGTTGAAAAAGAAGCTTCAATCGAAAAAATGCTGTTAGTAAGGCCTTGGTGGGTGACGGAAAGTGAATTCTTGGAAAGCTAGGGACTTATTTCAATTTAGAGTTGTCTTAACTGGTATCAATTTTATCTTCTTCTTAGTTACTATTAGGTTGCAAATGGAGCATTACGCTTACCTTCTACGCTTCAACTAAGAACTTCAAATAAGTGTAAGGAATTTTGAAAAAAAGTTCAGGGAATTTTGTAGAAGATCTAAAAATAGTTCAATAAACTTCTAAGAACTTCAGGGATCCTTGAATCAGTATAGGGAACTTCGTTGCAGTTTGTCAGAGATCTTACTTCAAAAAAGCTCCATGAACTTCTAGGAGGTTTTGAAAAAATCGTTAAATTTCAAGGACTCCATAGATGCTCAAGAATATTTGTAGATGTCTTAGGTGTCTTTCCAGAAGTGAAAAGATGTTTTGTTAACTTAAGGAAGTATTATACATGTTGTATAAATTACAGGATATTTTTTCAACTATCCTTCGTATACAGCAGGAAATATTCGAAATGTATTCGTAAAGTTCTCTGGATATTTTTCCAAGACTTCAGGTTGATCTAGTTCTGAAGATCTCCAACTGTTTAAAAATTCAAATATTCTTTCAAGACTGGAAGTATTCAAAAGTTTGCCAGCTAATTGAATCTAATGAAATCTTCAGTGATGAATCTTGATTTTTTGATATGTTTGTACACTCTCTATAGGGAAGATTCGTACCATGGCGATTTAGCTATATTGTCAAGAATTAGCACTGCAGCAGCTGAATTCCGGGCATAAATTTCAACGAAGAGATGGAAATTTCTACATAAAGTGGAATTTACGTATTCACGGCAACCTAAGCAGCGATCATCTTTCTATAGTATTTTTCTCTAAGGAACGCACACATATGCAGTATTGGTTTGTTTACAATCTTTTGCTGCCAACTGCTCTAACAATTTCAGTCAAAAGAATTGTCAAAAACTGTTTTAAGGTGATTCCTTGTAGAGTCCACAAATGGCCTCCACATAGACTATAAATGCACTTCCACCTCGAATTTTGAATTACACAAAACTGGGAAATTAGAGTTCCATTTCACCTTAAATTGCTACTGCATGTATGCTGCAGTGCAGCAAACGTAGAGTAACAGTTTCATTGTAGTACGTGTCGTGGAAGCTGATATTTGTGCATTTAAAGTTTCGAAGTGGTAGCGAGAATAAGGATCTCACAACGAACCACATTAAAACGCTTTTACAAAGCTCCAATCTTCTCTAGTGAGAGCGACTATTGTGGGCAACATCTTTTTATTCGGCAACCTTTCTATTTGAGCTGCGTTTTAAACAGCTCTGCTTTCATCGGCAACTTGAAATCAGCAGCATTTTGTAGTGCGTGTGTTTTATTTCAAAAAAACTCTGCTAGATTGCTTTTCTCAGTGGTAAAATTGTAATCAAATTGAAGTTGAAAGCCTAAAAAATCATTTGAATGCATTCAGTGAAATGTTTTCGTAAGAAAATCCAGTGAAATTAGCGTTTTAATTTGGGTTGCCGAAAATAGTCTGCCATGCCGAAGCCGTCATTTCCCCTACCTAATATGTATAAATTTCTTTATTTTCGATGAAATTTATGAACGGAATTCAGCAGCAGGATAGTTTGAATGGCTTAGGACATACAAAATTCTGCTTTTTGTGTGTTTTTATTTATTTATTAAAGAAATTATATACTGAAAAACCTCTTACCCGTATAAAACACGTGTGAATAGTAAATGGTGAATTAAATTATAAACTGATTTTTCATAATTTCTGTCAGATGTTAAGATTTTTCGAAATTTTTAAATCTTAATTTTACTTACTCTCTTATCTCGAAGAATTTTCTTCTTGAAAAATGCTGTAAGTCTCAGAATCTAGATAAGTTTCCCAACATCTTTAATTACAAATTTTGAAGCCTAGGAGATTCAAAGCTTGTCTATGTCTAAAACTTTTTTTTAATCTCTAAAATTTATTTTGAACAACATTTCATAGAATTGTTTTATGCATTTATTTTGTGGAGTTTTTATGATACTTTAGATAAGGTCAATCATATTCTAATTATTAAAATTCTTATTTCATTTGCTTTTAGTATTCATGTACAAGAATATTTATGAAATGACTATTAAGGAAGGATCTTGCAATTTTATCTTAGTTTTAGAATTAAGAATTTAATTTTGATTCCTATGTTTAACTGATTATGGAATATTCAAAATCTAAAAAAAGCTGCGTACAAAATTCATGGAATTACCAAACTCTGAGAATTTTCATAAGTTTGAGAGACTTAAATTAACGAGATCCGGACGCTATGTGATTTCATTACAAAAAGCATGAACAAACGATCATTGCTTGTTCAAAACCAGTAAGCTTTTAAAGCTCCCCCAATCGAGGTCTCAATCGTTGTTATGAAATAAATATAATCAAATTTATTGTTTCACCATTAAAATAGAAGTAAGCCTCAATGTAATATTATTGGTCACAGAAAAAAGTACCAAAAACAAGTTGCCTTGACGCAATTTAAATGAATAGCATCTTTGCGAGTTCTTATTTAACCGTAGTTTTGCAAAATAAAAAAAGCAACAAGCCCCCCCTAGGCCCCCTCCAGATAAATTCGCTAGCTACGCCATTGCCATTTTTGTATTTTACCAACCCAGTAGGGTAAAACAATCCAGCCGAAAAAAATCTCCGGACTAGGAATCTTACTCACTGCCACTAGCATAATGTAATTAACAATCTATTTTCGTGGATATGGGAAGTATTCATCGATATGGAGTTATGTCACCACAAATCATTTATACCTCAACAAAGGTTAGGAATTATAGGGATAGGAAAAGGCTTTCGATATAGTTTTGTAGGGTTTCTGATTTTCTTTGAAAAATTCGCAGTTAAATTGCTCAAAAATGGTACTCAGAATTCTTAATATTTTAGTCACATACTTGTTTAGTTTAGTTGAATAACCTCTCATTCAATTGGTTCTGTATTGTACCAATTTAATCCAATCTCCTGGCTGTTAGTTTTTTGTTCATAACTCCAAACTGGTAAGGGACACCACTTTAAAGTATTCACCAGTGGAAGTTTTCAAGCATGAAAAAGGAATCATTACCCTGAAAATTATTTTTCCTGATTTTCCTGCAAGTTTATTCAAGCGTAGAAATTTTCATCGAAAACATTTTTCAGATAATATTTTTTTATGGATTGCTAATAGGGGAAATGTCTCTAATGCTGGCCTATGGATCTAAGATTAGGCCCATCGCTAGAAATCTGCTATTTATCAATTTTATCTAGATGAACGCGTTATTGGGACGTTACTAATGGATATTTTTGGTTGCTATTGAAAATTTAGCCGATTGCTGAATTTATGTATGGGCCCAAATTAGGGACACTTAGGCCGACATTACTTGCATTTCCCCTTTAATCATTTCACCAAGCAACGCTTTTGTAGGTATAGGGAAATTTACGCATTCTTATCAATTGCATCCACGCTTCCATTAGCATTTCCTCAGCGTCATGCATACGTAACATGACGTGTTTATATGTTTATTTATTAACTGCTTACTCCTCTATCCATTCCAATCGACAGAATTGTCCAAAACTGTTTGAAAACGTTTTTACAACACATCGAACTTCTCAGTTGAGTGCGACTATTGTCGGCAGCTTTTTGTTTATTCGGCAGAGTTTCCATTTGATCTGTATTTAAGCCAGCTGTTCTATTATCGGCAACTCAAAATCAGCCATTTGGTAGTGCACACATTTCATTTTAAGAAACATATGGCATAATGGAATTGCTCAGTCGTAAAACTTAAATCAGATTGATGCTGAAAGACTAAGGAATCGTGTAAATACATTCAGCGAAGTGTTTTGATGGAAAAATACAGTGAAATTAACGTTCAAACTTTGCTTGCCGAAAACAGTCAATGGGTGCCACAGCTGACATTTACCCTACGTGATATCCGGAAAAATCCAAAATCAAATAACCACTCCAAATTATTTGAAATTGCTCTTCATTCAAACAACCATAAATTCTACCTTTGGATAAATTCATAATATTCTGAGATCCTTCGGCCCAACCTGTCCGATAATTTAAAAAAAAAACCATTTAATCACTCACTTGCCCAGCCATATTGTGCTCTTCCATTGATGATTGATGAAGCCGTGAACTACTTTGATGAGGTTGTGAGCCAGTAGACTGATGCAAAATTTGACTTTTTCGCTCCACAGTGCTTAAATGGTTTCAAATCGGGTTGTGATCAGCCTCCAAAAGTAACAACTCATTTGGTTAGAAACAGACTTCGCACAAACCATTTGAAGTTTACATGTAAATTACTATGGGAAATCTCAACTTTTTGTTAATTGCCTTCTAGTCTTTTTCCATATTAAGCTGCAAAACAGTTCGATAGCTATTCTTATAGAAAATTTTCTCAGCTACAACTTTGCTGAAGATCGTTTCTTTGTAAAACGAGACAGGAAATAGTTATTAATTATTTAAGAGACTGGTAAACTTATGACATGATCAAGCAGCTGCTCTGTAGGCAACACTGTATTTTGCAGTGTGACATAGTAGCCATAATTTTTGTGTCCTATTCAACGTCCCAGAAACACCAATGTTGCCTGCTGAGCAGTTGATTGAGCATGATCATAAGACATCATTGCATTGAACCATCAATAACTTTCGATCCTAGCATTTAATCAAAAAGTGGTCTTCAGCAAAGTTGTAGATGGGAAAGTTTCCTACAATTAAAATTGAAAGCTTTTGAAGCAGACCGATATGGTGAATTATTAGATATACATGAACAAAAATCTTGGTTTTACCATAGTAATTCCCATACAAACTTAAATGGTTTGTGCCATCTCAGTTTCTCACCAAATGGGTTCAAATTTTGAGAGGTTAGTCAGTATCCGATATGGAATCGTTTAAGTATTGTGGAGCGAAAATTTCAAATTTTGCATCACTCTAGTGAGCCAGCCAATAACTCTATGGTGTGCGTCTGATACAAACTGCTAAAAAACCTGCATGGTCTAATGCTCGTTTACGGCGCTTGAAGCGTTTTAGACCGAACATTCTTCGCAAATATGGTCCAAACCCGTAGACCATTCACAAAGCGATTATTTTTGTTAGCAAGTAATGCGTATCGCGTGTACATGTACAACTTGCTTACTCCACAAGAACTACACGTTTCATCAGAACCGGTGTTGTAGTGGTAAGCGCTACTCACTCCAAAGGGTCTGGGTTTGATCCCAGTCGGCGCCGCCGAGATTTTCTGAGGCATAAAATCTCTGATCACGCCTTTCTTCCGAAGGAAAGTAATACTGTTGGTCCCCGGTTTATGAGTTGATGGGTCGATAGGTAGGGTCCAGGTGTGGGAGCTGCCTCCCTGGCATTGGTAGCATTGGTACTCAGTACGGAAAAAAAGATCGACGGAAAACAAATCAAGGAAAAAAAAAGAACTACACGAGACGTATGCAGTGCTGCCATGGCAAATTTAGTTCTATATAATAAAAACTAGGATAATGATGTATAATTGTCAAAGATTTTTTTTTAAACCTTGATTTATTTTCCGTCGATCTTGTTTTCCGTGCTGAGCACCAATGCTACCGACGCCAGGGAGGCAGCTCCCACACCTGGACCCTACCTATCGACTGATCAACTCATGATCCGTGGACCTACGGCTTTACTTCCCTTCCAAAGGAAGGCGTGATCAGAGATGTTATGCCTCAGAACATCCCAGTGGAGCCGACTGGGATTGAACCCAGATATGCTGCGGTAAGAAATAATCATGCTTACCACTAAACCAAAGATTTTTTTTAAAAACGAAGATTTTCAACATCAAGGCATAAAATTTGATTTACCATAGGCCATTTAAGAAAAAGCTGTTCTAATTTCACTAAAACGCTAAGAAATGCAAAACGTTTTTGATGACAATATAAGGACTGAGATGTTTTATGTGAAGCCATTTTACTTGATCCTAATCCGTTTAGTTTTATGATTTGTATAAGGACTGAGATGTTTTAACTGAAGCCATTTTACTTGATCCTAATCCGTTAAGTTTTATGATTTGGCACACTGTTCTGAGCACACCTACCGACTGTGAATACCTGTGTCGGCACATTCTTGCAGTGGGTTCGGCACCGAAGTGATAGGTATCGATCTGTCGCACATATTGAGTAAAAGATAAAAACATCCAATAAAAAAGCAAAAGAAAAGTTGAAAACCTTTGACGTAATTTCATCATTCTCGATATTGTGAAAATTATCTAGTAATCTAGTGAACTTAATTATAGCGAGGGGGCGACTTTATCTACGATGCAGGAAAAATTATGTAGATAGAAAGAAGATTGATGACGATTCTTTCCTGCAAAAATATGCTGCGCGATCCAAGTAGAAGCGAGAAATGAAAGAATATTTTTCAAAGATTGATTAGCTAGAGTGATATTTGTTGAGCATCTAGCATTGAAACTTAGATGTGTGTCTAGATAACCTATAAAAGTTGGAAACTCGAAAACTTCCCTTCTTCCGCATGATGTGAGTTTATGGGCTTGGAATTTTTGAAGGAGTTGACCAGCTCTGGTTCAAAAGGCGGCCAATTTCCAGCAAACAGCTTCTGTAGTTACCTGTCGACCGTTTTTTGCGATTCCAGTTTAGCACAAATGCTGCACCAAATATTCCGCCGCCATAGTATTCAGCCGAATATCAAGCTTTAACCTATCTAAATTTCACCACTCGATTGAAAGGAAAAGGCAGAATATCAGCAAAAATGTATATAAAAACACCGCACTATTCGGTGCAACTCTACGTATTACTCAGATTATCATCGATATGCAGTTTTTGGTTTGTTTTTAATCAGAATGTGACGCATAACGACGCCGGTGGTGTAGTGGTAAGCGTGATTACCTCTCACCTCAACAGGCCTGGGTTCAATCCCAGTCGGCGCCGCCGGGATGTTCTGAGGCATAACATCTCTGATCACGCCTTCCTTCGGATGGGAAGTAAAGCCGTTGGTCCCCGGTTCATGAGTTGATGGGTCGATAGGTAGGGTCCAGGTGTGGGAGCTGCCTTCCTGGCACGTCGGTAGCATTGGTGCTCAGCACGGAAAACAAGATCGACGGAAAAAACAAACCAAAGGAAAAAAAAACGAATGTGACGCAAATGCCAGCTTACAGTGCTTCATGGACCGCATTCATTTCATCCTTCTCAGTTGGCTGTTATGTTGATATTAACAGGTTCAATCGGAATTGCTGGACCTAACAGGAAGTTCTGGAATTGGACGTTCCCAAAGCCTGACAGAAGTTTTCTTATTACCTTGCTGTCTGAACATGAAACTTCTTAAAAATCCTCCGTATTTCCTTTCATGTTTCAGATCTTCATGAAAGCTCCAACCATTTTTGCTGACCAACCTTCCAAGTTCTCTTATTTTTCCTGGAGTTCGCACTTCTCCTCTGATGATGATGTTGGAATTGACTTGAAATTAATAAAACTGCTTTAAAGACTTCTAAACTTCACGACGTTTTCTGCAGTACCGTGATTTTTTTTATTTCTGTGAAGCTTCTGACTTTTTTCCTTGATCTAGACTGTCATTAATGATTGGAACTTTTTTTTCTGGATTTGTTTTTCGTCGATCTTGTTTTACGTGCTGATCACCAATGCTAGGCAGCTGCCACACCTGGACCCTACCTATCGACCCATCGACTCATGAACCGGGCACCAACGGCTTTACTTCTTTTCCGAAGGAAGGCGTGATCGGAGATGTTATGCTTCAGAACATCCCGGCGGGCCGACTGGAATTGAGCCCAGGCCTGCTGGGGTGAGACCTAATCACGCTTACCCCTACACCACCGGCACCGCTAATGATTGGAACTTCTTGAAGGAACTGTTTTAAAGTATTCAAAAATTTAACTGAAAATCTCAAAACTTCTTTGAAGTTCTGATGATTTTCATAATAATCATGAAACTGTCCTGAATTCTTATAACTGCCTGAAGTTACGTAACTTCCCTTAAGATCCTTAACGTCAACTGAAGCTTTTGCAACCGGTGCTCCTGAAGTTCCAAAAATTTTCCTGAATTTAATGAATCTGCTCTGAAGCTCTTTGATCTTCAGTGAAGTTCTCGAAGCTTTCCAGAAATTTATGGAACTTCCCTAAAGCTATCGGAAACTACCCTAAAGATCTTAAAACTTCCATGTTGTTCTAAAAGTTCTTAATGTTTTCGGAACTTTCTTTATATTTCTGAAATTCCCATGAAACTATCATATCTTCCTGAAGGTTTTCGCATTTTTTCTGGTGTTAATGAAAAAATAAAAAGTTATCAAAATTTTCCCAGAGTTCTTGGAATATCAATTCGGTTCCTGCATTTTTTTTTTCTGACGTTCATGGGTCCTTTAACTTTATTGAAGTTATCTGGACTTCGGTCTTGGAAAATCTGAAAACTTTCTGCACTTATTATGAAGTCAATCGAACGGAAGTTTTTGGAACTTGCTTCAAGTTCCACAATTTTCACAATGTTCGTGGAACTGCCATGAAATTATCAGAACGATGCCGAAGCTCTCTGAACTATCCTAACGATATTAGAAATAACCTGATCTTAGAATGAAATTCTTTGAAATGCTTCTCACAATTCTCTTCGAACTCAAAAAATTAAAACATTTGCTGCCGTGACCAGGATTGTGGCCGACTACAAGCAAGCAAATTTCCAACCCAAAGCAACGATGGAGGATACAAAGCAAAAAAAAACTTTCTTTGCATCGACATCGAAGTCAACAGTATGGATTGAGGAATCGTGACTGCTCTATGGATTTCGACGAATTACTACGACACCTTCAATAATCGATGACCAAACGGACAATCAACAAGTTTGGATAGCATCAGTAATCGCCAGCAAAATGATTCGAACGCCATCGTCAGCGATTTCCATTTAACGGTAATCAATTCCTTTTCCATTTCACTTTCCTATCCTACGATTTCCTGAACCCTGATTGAGTTTATTTTGCTAATGGCTCACTGGTAGAGTGAACATTTCCACAGTCCTCCATCCTCAATTAAATCAGGTTCCAATTCATATTGCTACTTCCTGTGAAGTCAGGCCTCGCACTCGGCGTAGTGCGCCAGGGTTTATTTATTTAATTTAATCTTCAACATAATGTTGTACAGATATTTTCTAGGCTATGTGTCGAATTCTATGTCTGTAAGTAGACTTACTAATGTTAAAATTATATACATCAAATATTTCATCAGTTATCGCTCAGCTTCTGAGACGCGCGGACGTGTTTTTCTTGACGTTTTAGCGCTATTTCAATAGTCAATAGTTGAAGATATTTTTTAGCTTTGCTATCCGTATCGTGCCGCGTCGCGTGTGCAGTGTCCGCGATGAGGCGTGAAAACACTTTCAAGATTGACTATTCGAGTTTCCCCGTGAAGCCGTCGTTCGAGAAAGTGCACGGCTTCTGCCGTTCAGTGCTCGGCCTGAAGAAAGAAGACGTGCAGAGACTACAGTGCCACCGCGGTGGAGCATGTGCTTTCGTCAAGGTCAATGACCTGGCGTTAGCACAAAAAATCGTTGACAATCATGACGAGAAGCACGAAGTTGAACTGGACGGAAAGAAGCACAAGCTTCGTATTACCATGGAGGATGGTAGTGTGGAAGTGAAGGTGCATGACCTGCCCGAAGACGTGTCCGAAGAGAAAGTGGTAGAGTTCCTGAGCGCGTTCGGTGAGGTGCTATCGATTCGCGAGCTAATGTGGGGTGAAGGCTACGATTTCGGTGGTATTTCGCTCGGCATATGGTCTGCTCGAATGCTCGTGAAGAAAAATATTGACTCGTGGGTCACCATCGACGGCGAACGAGCGCTTGTCGTTTACAAGGGACAGCTTCAATCCTGTCGCCACTGTCACGAGCAAGCGCACACTGGCATATCATGTGTCCAGAACAAAAAGCTTCTGGTCCAGAAGAGCTACGCTAACGTGACGAAGCAAACGGGTCCACGACCGCAACCAAAACCAGCTGGTCCGAAACCAGTCAAGCCGAAACCTACCGCACCACCAACGGCAACGTTGGGTGCATTTCCCGAATTGCCGAAGCAGACGGACACGAATGCGCAGAGTAGTAGCCAGGCCGCAACAGCTGTAGCGTCCCTGTGTCCGCAACCACTACTAGCGCAAATGTCGTCGTCGCAACGAGTGCCATCGGTAACTGCCCAACCAGCCAACACCAGCACGGCTACGGTTGACCTGTTCAAGAAGCCCCCACACGCGCTGCGATCGCAGAGCAAGAGCGGGAATGGCAACGAAACCGACGAATCTTCAACATCCACGAGTAGCAGGCGGGACAGGGCCGACCGCCGAGCAAAGAAACCGCGCCGGACCAGCGAGGACGAAGAGCGGGGTGGAGAGAAGCTCCCATAAATGGCTCTCACATCCTACAACGTTGCTTCCATCAACATCGGCACCATCACGAACCCTACAAAACTAAATGCGCTCCGAACCTTCATCAGTAGCCAAAACCTCGATATTGTGTGTCTGCAAGAGGTTGAAAATGAGCAGCTCTCCTTGCCTGGCTTCGTCGTTTTCGCCAATGTAGACCACATGAGAAGAGGTACAGTAGGGTGCTTCATTCTGAAAAAAGTGATGAATTTCTGATGGGCCACCCTCCAGTTCGATTCATAGCCCCAAAATATGAACCTGTGCAAAAATTGGTAAAGATTGATGAAGGTTTAGAGGTCGCGCCAATGATTTGAAATTTGTATGGGAATTACTATGGAAGAATTTAAAAAATCGCTTATATCGCTATAACTTTGCTTCTACTTGTCCAAATGTCGAAAAAATTTAGTATGTTATTGCTATGGCAATAAACAAAAAGCCTACAGTTGCTACGCTCAGTTTTGCAGCGTATCAAGAATTATAAAAATGTGAAAAAATGGCAAAATAGGGTAACTTGACAGATGAATATGTACAATTCAACAACGCCAATTTCATCGCAACAACAACAGGCTTGTTGATCATTGTCATGACAACCACATATTTTTTTTTTCAACGTTTGGACAACTACAACCAAAGTTAGAGCAATGTAAACGAAAATCAATAATTTCCCATACTAATTCACCAAAATCTCCATACAAAATCCAAATCATTGGCGCGACCTCTAAACCTTCATCAATCTTTACCATTTTTTGCACAGGTTCATATTTTGGGGCTATGAATCGAACTGGAGGGTGGCCTATCAAAAATTCATCACTTTTTTCAAAATGAAACACCCTAAGGTACAGCTATTGCTCTGAAGGACCACATCCATGCCACTCACGTCGAACGAAGTCTGGACGGCCGACTGCTTGCGCTGAGAGTGCAAGATACAACTATCTGCAACGTTTACGCTCCCTCCGGCTCTTCGCAGCGCGCAGCTCGGGAGGATTTCTTTAATGGGACGCTTGCCTACTACCTCCGTCATCGGACACAGCATGTGATTCTGGCTGGTGACTTTAATTGTGTGCTGCGAGCATGCGATTCAAGTAGCCCCAACACAAGCCCCTCACTCAAAACAGCTGTGCAGCAGCTCCAGCTGCACGATGTGTGGGAAAAGCTTTGTCCACGCGATACAGGCTTCACCTACGTCAGCAGAAATGCTCAATCGCGCCTCGACCGCATTTATGTCAGCAGCGTTTTGCGCGATAATCTGCGAGCAGCACACACGCATGTCTGCTCGTTCACCGACCACAAAGCGCTGACACTCCGAATATGCCTCCCCCAACTTGGACACGAACACGGCCGTGGATTCTGGTCACTTCGGCCCCACCTTCTAACTGACGAAAACGTTGGGGAGTTCCAATATAAGTGGCAATATTGGACCCGCCAACGCAGGAACTACGGGTCATGGATGGAAGGGTGGCTCTCGTACGCTAAGCCTAAAATAAAATCGTTCTTCAAGTGGAAATCTCGAGAAGTTTTCGACGAATTCTACAGCGCACACCAGCGCCTCTATGCGGAGCTACGGTTAGCGTACGACGGGTATTACCAGCACCCAGAACTGATAACCACGATCAATCGATTGAAAGGGGAAATGTTGGCACTGCAGCGTAATTTCTCCCATACGTTCATGCGGATCAACGAAACGCACGTGGCGGGGGAACCACTGTCGATATTCCAGTTGGGGGAGAGGCGGAGAAAGAGAACCGTCATCACACAACTGGCCACGGAGCAAAATGCAAACATCGAGGAACCGCAAGCGATCGAGACGCACTTGCTGGGCTATTTCTCCGAGCTCTACTCGGAAGAAGCAAACGGTGGAGACGACAACAGCTTCGTTTGTGAGAGAGCCGTTCCGCCGAACGACCCACTGAATGAAGCCTGCACGAGTGAAATCACCACGGCAGAAATTCTGTCGGCAATAACAACAAGTGCTCCCAGAAAGTCTCCCGGCTGCGACGGCATCCCGCGAGAGTTTTATTACCGCATGTTCGACGTTATCCACCGAGAGCTGAACCTGCTGCTCAACGAAGCGCTCAACGGCAATCTTCCCGCCGCATTTGTGGAAGGCATTATCGTGCTGGTTAAAAAGAGAGGAGGAGACAACACGGCACGATCCTACCGTCCGATCTCGCTGCTCAACAGCGATTACAAACTGTTCTCCCGCATTATCAAGACCAGGCTAGAGCGGGTGATGAGAGCCCACCACGTGCTGAGCGATGGACAGAAATGCTCTAACTCCGAGCGAAACATCTTCCAAGCCACCCTTGCTCTGAAAGATCGGATCGCCAGTCTCCGTCACCATCGCCGTGCCGGGAAGCTCATAAGCTACGATCTCGATCATGCGTTCGATCGGGTCCGGCACTCATTTCTCTTCTCGACCATGCGCTCCCTCGGATTCAACGAGAATCTCATCGCTCTGCTGGCGCAGATTGCCAATCGCTCAACCTCACGGCTGCTCATCAATGGGCATCTCTCTCGCTCTTTCGAAATCCAACGCTCCGTACGGCAAGGGGACCCGTTGTCCATGCACCTCTTCGTGCTGTACCTCCACCCACTGGTGGTCAGACTCGAGCAAGCGTGCGGAAATGATTTGCTAGTGGCCTACGCGGATGATATCAGCGTCATCGTCACATCGGTCGGGCAAATCGAGGCGATGAATGGTCTGTTCACTCGCTTCGAGCTAGCCGCCGGCGCCAAACTGAACTTGCGGAAGACTATTGCCATTGACGTTGGGTTTTGCGAAGGCAACGCGATCATCACCCCATGGCTGCAAACAGCGAATGTAGTCAAAATTCTGGGTGTTGTCTTCGCAAACTCAATCCGCTTGATGACGACGTTGAACTGGGATGCACAGGTAGGGAAGTTCGCGCAGCAAATGTGGTTGCACTCTCTACGGACACTAACGTTGCACCAAAGAGTCATCATGCTGAACACGTTCGGCACCTCCAGAATATGGTACCTGTCGTCGATACTGCCGCCCCTTGCCAAGCACACTGCGAAAATTACATCAACGATGGGTACCTTCCTGTGGAGAGGAATGGTGGCCCACGTCCCAATGATGCAGCTTGCACGGAGCAGAGAAGACGGAGGACTGAAGTTGCATCTACCAGCACTAAAATGTAAGTCGTTGGCCATTAACCGGCACCTTCGTGAGATCGATTCCCTTCCTTATTATAGATCCCTTCTGCTCCACGTAAATCCCCGCCCAGCAATCTCCATAGATCTTCCTGACCTCAAAATAATCCTATCTAGTTTATCCCAAATTCCCCACCAAATCCAACAAAACCCCTCCGCCGATCAAATCCACCAACATTTCGTTCTCCAAACCGACCTGCCAAGGGTGGAACGTAATAGCCCGACAACCAACTGGCCGCGCACGTGGCGCAACATTGCGGCGAAGCAGCTCACTTCAGCGCAGCGGACGAGACTGTACCTCCTGGTCAATGAGAAGATCGAGCATCGCAAGCTATTTTTTGTGATGCAGCGTGTGGCGGACGAGAACTGCACACATTGTGACAACCAAACGGCGGAAACTCTCCTCCATAAATTCTGCACCTGCACTCGTGTTGGCCCGGCTTGGACGGTCCTGCAGCAGAGGATAACAGGCATTTTGGATGGATGGAGACGACTCACATTTGAAGACCTGGTGAGACCTGCCTTAATAGGAATAGGAAATACGAAACGTGTGGAAATTCTTAAACTTTTTATTAATTACATCTGCTTTGTTAATGGAAGTAACGGTAGAATTGATGTAGCTGAGTTGAATTTTCATCTAGATATAGAAAACTAATTGTAAAAACACTGACAATAAAAACTAAACTTTTATAAAAAAAAAAAAAAAAAAAAAAAAATGTTTTCGGAACTTTCTTTATATTTCTGAAATTCCCATGAAACTATCATATCTTCCTGAAGGTTTTCGCATTTTTTCTGGTGTTAATGAAAAAATAAAAAGTTATCAAAATTTTCCCAGAGTTCTTGGAATATCAATTCGGTTCCTGCATTTTTTTTTCTGACGTTCATGGGTCCTTTAACTTTATTGAAGTTATCTGGACTTCGGTCTTGGAAAATCTGAAAACTTTCTGCACTTATTATGAAGTCAATCGAACGGAAGTTTTTGGAACTTGCTTCAAGTTCCACAATTTTCACAATGTTCGTGGAACTGCCATGAAATTATCAGAACGATGCCGAAGCTCTCTGAACTATCCTAACGATATTAGAAATAACCTGATCTTAGAATGAAATTCTTTGAAATGCTTCTCACAATTCTCTTCGAACTCAAAAAATTAAAACATTTGCTGCCGTGACCAGGATTGTGGCCGACTACAAGCAAGCAAATTTCCAACCCAAAGCAACGATGGAGGATACAAAGCAAAAAAAAACTTTCTTTGCATCGACATCGAAGTCAACAGTATGGATTGAGGAATCGTGACTGCTCTATGGATTTCGACGAATTACTACGACACCTTCAATAATCGATGACCAAACGGACAATCAACAAGTTTGGATAGCATCAGTAATCGCCAGCAAAATGATTCGAACGCCATCGTCAGCGATTTCCATTTAACGGTAATCAATTCCTTTTCCATTTCACTTTCCTATCCTACGATTTCCTGAACCCTGATTGAGTTTATTTTGCTAATGGCTCACTGGTAGAGTGAACATTTCCACAGTCCTCCATCCTCAATTAAATCAGGTTCCAATTCATATTGCTACTTCCTGTGAAGTCAGGCCTCGCACTCGGCGTAGTGCGCCAGGGTTTATTTATTTAATTTAATCTTCAACATAATGTTGTACAGATATTTTCTAGGCTATGTGTCGAATTCTATGTCTGTAAGTAGACTTACTAATGTTAAAATTATATACATCAAATATTTCATTAAACATACGACAGCACAAAGTCCACGGTTCGTTGAATCCATAGTTGGTCCGATGGGTAGGTTGCCACAGAAGCGTGTAACTACGTAGAACTCTTTGAGGAGCATTGATGTAGATTTGGCTCACAAGAGAGTTGCCATCCACGTCACCGTTAAGCAATCCAAACACGAAGAGTCGCTGAAGTAGATTCCTCCTTGCTGCCAACGTGTCCAGGTCAATCAGCCTGCACCGTGCTTCGTGAGGCGACCAAATTACCGAATCGTTCCAGGGCAGAACACGTAAAGCGTATCTTACGAAGTTTCGCTGAATGGCTTCGATTCTGTTAGCTTGAATAGCGTGAAAGGGTGCCCACACAACAACAGCATACTCTAGAAGACTGTGGACGAGAGCACAGTATAGTGATTTCAACGCGTAGATGTCCTGGAATGCGTTTGTGTTTCGTTTCAAGAAACCTAATGTGGCGAATTCTTTAGCAGTTATCATGGAGATGTGCTCATTGAATCTGACTTTAGAGTCAATGATAACACCCAAATCCTTAACTGAAGAAACGAAGAGCAAACTACTGAGTCCTATCCTATAGTCATGTCGTAAGGGCTCCCGTGAACGGCTGAAAGATATTGCGCAGCATTTTGTGACATTAACCTGCACACCGTTCAATGTACACCAGCGCAAAAGGGTATCAATATCCTTCTGGAGTGCGCAACAGTCAAGTCTTGACTTAATTGTACGAAAGATCTTTAAGTCATCGGCGAACATAAGTTTTGAAGAACACAGTCGACTACACAGATCGTTCACGAACAGGATGAAAATTAAAGGCCCCAAATGGCTACCTTGGGAAGCACCAGAGGGTATCTCGAAACTAGGCGAACTAACACCGTTAATGCTCACATAGGCTGAGCGGTCAGTTAAGTAAGACTGTAGCCACTTCGTGGCCCAATTAGGTAATCCCATACACCTCATTTTGTCCACTGCACGCACATGCGGAACCCTATCGAACGCCTTACTGAACTCCACGTAGATCGCATCAACTTGTCGTCGTTTTTCAATGGAGTTGATCAGCGAGTTGACAAACACCATTAAGTTGGTTGTTGTAGTGCGTTTCCTCACGAAGCCGTGCTTATGTTCGGTAATTGTTGGCGTGACCGCTTGATATACGACCTCATATACGATCTTCTCCAGAGCTTTTTGGAGGCAGCTTAGAATCTAAATTCCGCGATAATTTTCAACGTTGTGGATGTTTCCAGCTTTGTGAATAGGTGTGATGGACGCAACCTTCCACATTGTGGGGAAAACACCACTAACTAGCAAACGATTGAAGATAATCTACACAGGTGAAGCGAGAGATGCAGAAAATTTCTTAATGAACGATGGCGGCAAACAGTCTGGACCAGGGCCTTTAGAAGGATCTACAGATGAAAGAACTTTCATCACTCATCACATCACTTTCATCAATTTTGCGAAGAGTTCAGAAGCTTCTTCCGCGGAGTCAGCACGAGCTTCTTTATAGGACACATCGAGTGGTGTACCGCCATTCCGCCTAAGTTTCTTCACGTAGGTCCAAAAAGACGATGGATCCCGCTTTGCCTCCGACTCAATGCGCAATACATATTCATGGAAAACTGTGTTCAACCGGCTGGTGTAGTGCTCCTCCATGTCGTGAAGTAATCGCCTGTTTTCCTCAGTCCGTTGTTTGAAAAGACGTTTCCTTGCTTTCCGTTGTCACACACGGCACACACGGCACAGCCACCGCAACGAGTCTCACAGCGACAGGATCAGCAACTCGGATCATTTGTCCCTCTATTCCTATATTCCTACATCCCGATAACCATGTTGAATGGTATGAATTACCGTCTATGGATTTACCTGTGTAAAATTACATCCAGTTCGTCAAGCAAGTCAAGTGAACAGTCAATCGTCGTCACAGAATTGAAGCCAATTTGCAGCATCGATCAACCAGCAATATCGTCGCACCAAATCTCATTCCACGATAAATTGTTGCTAAAAACATCCGTTTTTGAGGGCCGGGATGTTGCGGCTCACCATTTTTTAAGTGTTTTTGTTTATGTCTTTTGTCAAATAGCTAAATCTCAAATGAAAGGCATATCTGCTACAGTAAAACAATACCACATTGGAATCAATACATGAAATATTTCTGTACCTTTGTAAACGGAAAAGAAATTCTCATTATATTTAAATTCAAATAATTAATTGTAAGAATGTGATATAAAAAGCCAAAGATTCCTAAAATAAAATACATTATACTATTTAGACTACGCAGAGGCACGCTGCCTCTAGGAGACCAGCAAATTGTGAGTTTCATTTGCACTTTGGATTCGCCTTAGTATTTCGGCGGTTGGAATACTCTTCTTCGCCGAACCACGGAACAAATTCCCAACGTAGGGTCTGGTCAACCCTGAAATGTTCCTTGGAATATCGTTGGAATAATCAACGGTAATAAATTCCCACGGAATTTTCCTCGAAATAACCTTGAAATGCTCCTCAGTAAAAGTCCTTTCGAATTATTATCAGAAATTTCAATGAACTCGTTTCAAAATGCCCTTTAAATTTTACTCCTTCCCTTGAAATTCTACTCACTTTGAAAGTTTCGTAAGAATTCGCTTGGATTTCTCATTAAATATTATTTGAAATTCAAGTCAGAACTCTCGTGGGAAGTTTTCCAGGAATATTATCAGATTTACTTGTAATCCTCCTTTTAGCATACTCCCGAAGTATTCTCCGAAAATGGATCCCTTTCCTATTTCTCCCTGAAACTTCTTGAAATCATCCACAGAATTCATTTGGAATTCTTTTTGAATTTCCATGGCGTCCTCTTCAGATATCCTTAGGAATTAACTTTAGAAATTCGTATCAATTTTCATTAAAATTTCTTGCGAATCCAATTTAGGGCTTACTTGGAATTCTACTCAGAACTACCTTGGTGTTCATGTTTCACATAGAATCTGTTCCTCAGGTCTACCTTGAAAACAGATTGCACTTGATGGTTTCCTTACAGTTCATCACAGAACTCCTTTGAAATGTGTTTCTTAGAAATTATCATCCTATTTGATGAGCCTTGACAAATCTTGATGTAAAGCTTGAGTCATTTAATATCTGGACGCACTGATTATTTTACTACAGTGCTCCTAGATCTGAAATGTTTTGACAGCAGTTTGCTTGAAATGCTTCCTCTTTTATTTAGTGCTGAAAAGTTCGTCACGATTCATTTTGTTTAAAAGAAGTAATACTTTATGGAAGCAGCGAACCAAAAATTAATTTTGGACTCCCACTTGGAAAATCCGACGTGGTCAAGATCATAGAAAGCGTCGTAGTGGAACTAAGGATCGGAAACTGCATTTGTAGGTGTTGAGAACGGTTAGGGCAAACCCGGGCTGTCGGATTATGATATCACCAAGAAATTCAATGCCAGCCACAGCACCGTCAGAAGGATTCGTCAGCGATAATGATTTCGATCTTTTCGGGCCAGTAAGCCACCAAACAGGACACTGAAGCAGAATCTAGTGGCTAAATGGGGTTCTTACAAAGTACGAATGATGCATCCTTATGGACGACAAAACGCACGTGAAGATGGATTATAGGCTTACTGGTCAAGATGATGTCCCTAACCAGTTCAAATTCGTTTTTGTCGATACATTTTCAAGAAAGCTTATGAATTCCTGGATTTGCCTGGAAAAAATAATATTCCCTGAAGATTCCCGGTTTTCCTGTTTTTCCTGGTAGTAGACGCCTTGAATTTCTATAGTAGTTTTTTATTCTCCTTGCGGACATGAGACGGAAAATTGTTGGCGATTTGAGTCCAATATTGAACAGCCTATTTATGCTTCTATTAGTTGCTGATTATTCTCTTTTTCAAACCAGCAAATTTTCTTCGCAAGTGTTAAGATTTAATTTTCTCGAAATTGGGCCCGATGACCATGCGGCCTACTTACCGTTCGGCCTAATGACAGTTCAGCCTAATGAACGTTCGGCCTTATGACGATTCGGTCTAATGACCTTAAGCCTATTAACCTAGAATCCGCCATGCACATTCAATATAATTTGCTTGACATATCTCATAATAGGTTCTGGTATAAGTTAAAGGTGCCCGAAACACCAGGAACATGAGTTATCTGCTTCTGTTAACAGTTGAGTGAACACTGATCTACAAAGTTTTGGATAGCGTTATTTTTAGAAACTTAGCTGTGAAAAACTTGTAGTCGTAAAACTATGACTTATAGTGTAAGGGTGTTCCTCAAAAAACAATTAATTACCATAACTCTTATATTTCTAGTTTTAAATAAAAGTCGTCTGCTACAACTTTTTAATACTCGTTAGGTTCTATAAAGTGCTCCGCAAGTTCTCTAAAGTTCTACGACGTTCATTGAGCTTTTACAAAGATAGCTGATAGATTTATAGGAGTTATTTTGCTGTACTTTTAGAAAACTTCTAGAGCTTCTACGCAGTTCACTGACGTTTCCTGAAGATCGATCAAGATCCTTGAAGTTCTACAAAGTTCCATGATTTTTTACGAATTTCCTCGAAGTTCTATGAAATCAAATGATGCTCTCTTAACTTCTACAAATTGCCCCTGACTCGCTGTCAATCTATCCATCAGGTCACATTTCACAAAAGTAGATAAAATTATTATTTTTCGTAGTGTACCAACAGCGTATCATAGCGTATTTTCAGGGATTTTGAATGTACCTCGCCTTGTTTTAGGGTGTCCTGCTGAATAGACGGGTTAGTTTTAGAAAATTTTCTTTAAACCTTCCAAAAACTTCATAAACATAGTGTACCAATGGCGTACCTTCCAAATCTGAAGTTAATTTTTAACGTACCTGAAAATTTACGATACGATACTTACTTGTATAAAACTCATTAAAATACATTAGCTGTAAAATCTGACTTCGTATTTGGATTTCTCGGGAAATTTTAGCCCGATTTGACCCAAAAAACATATTACTTGAGTGCATTCTACACTACTTTATGACCAAATACGTTATTTTAAAACAAGTAGAGGAAATGGCTCTAATGTTGGCCTATGGATCTAAGATTGAGCCCATCGCTAAAAATCTACTATTAATCAATTTTATCCAGATGAACGCGTCATTGGGACGATAATAATGGATATTTCAGCCACTATTGAAAATTTAGTCGATTGCTGCATTAGTGTATGGGCCCAAATTAGGAGGATTTAGGCCGACATTACATCCATTTCCCCTATATCAAAATACCCTTGAATACCTACATCCAGCTAAGTATTCTGTTTACCCATGAATGTAGATAACCAACAAACATGGAAGAGGGCAGTTTTAAATATCTTCAAGTATGCAGTATCAGCGGCGCCGGTGGTGTAGTGGTAAGTGTGATTGCCTCTCACCCCAAAAGGCCTTGGTTCAATCCCAGTCGGCGCCACTGGGATTTTCTGAGGCATAAAATGTCTGATAACGCACATCCTTCGGAAGGGAAGTAAAGCCGATGGTCCCTGGTCAATGAGTTGATGGGTCGATAGGTAGGGTCTGGTGTGTGGGAGCTGCCTTCCTGGCGCCGGTAGCATTGGTACTCAGTACGGGGAAAACAAGATCGACGGAAGCCAAATCAAGGAATAACAGAGTATGCAGTATCAATATATATGGGTACAGGTTGAACGTACCTCAAGGCGAATCAAGTTCACATGGATGGGATGGACAAATTTTCTAAGGAAAATTGAATTTTTATGATTAAAATAATTACTTGAAGGAATGTACACTACTTTATCGAACTGTGCATCATGCGATCACATCAATCACATAATAATTGAATTTCAATTTCATTGGAATACATATTGAGTTACCAGAACCACATTGTTTGAATGGGTGCGATATCCTACGCAGGTGTGGAAGCTGCCTTCCTTGCACATTCGATTGCCGCCGTCAATGAATGGTAATCGATGTCCGTCGGTGATTGGCACTAGATTGCGGAACAGAGACCGACGTTAAATAAAGGACAGAAGAAGAACCACATTGGCCTTTTACGGTAAGCGGTACGAACTCACAGCAATGATCCAAATAGAAATGATTCGAAAAAATCCATCCATTATATGCAATATATAATGTCAACACCTTAATGGCATCATAAAATTAATCATTCAGATCATAACCATCATGTGAGCCTGTTACGAAAATGTTCATAATCTGCAAAAAGCCAAAGTGCCCAATCTAGCGAAGAATTCGAATTACTTACAAAATGATAAAAAGGGTCCCAACTTCAATCACCATACTTACTCCAAACTGTGCAACAACTGATAGCATATCAGAAATATGTTATTCCAACAGGAACTGATCACCAACGGTGACAGCAGCTGGTCCACCTTCTCCAGGAATTCACTCAGCATAACATAGTGCTCTCGGATCTCCATCCAAAATGGCTCCTGTTGAGGCCCAGCAGCTTCAACACGGCCAAAGAACTGCCGATAACGAGCAATCACATACATACTGATGACCATGATCAGCACATCCTGGTACGTCCAAGCCATCGTTACAGCATAGATCACGTACTGCAACCGTATTGCGAAAGTATCAATTTGATTTGAATTTGATTGAAAATTTGCACTTACGTGAGCAAAGAAATAAACCGGAATATTGTAAGGCATCCAGTTGAAAATATACGCAAACCGTCTACGGGCATAGACCTCCATGGTATAAGAGTACACTTTATTACACCGAAGCCATTCCCTGTACTGAATGTAGACGCCATTGAAAGTTGCAAATAGGTGCTCCACTGGAAATTCATCAAATAGGTTATGAAACAGAACTTGAACATTCGCGAAATCCTCACCAGTTCCGAGAACAATCCAGCCAGCAGCCATCCTCCAGCAATTCACATTTAAGCGAACTTTTAGCGGATTGTAAGATTTTTGTTGGAGTACAAGTTCTACCTTATCGATTTCTGTGAGAAACTGACTCCAGTTGCTGGCCATCTGCACCATCAAACTCACAATGACCGACGTGTCGATGAAAAAGTACACCCCTATGATGTTCGAAAAGTTGATACCACTCCTGATCAAACCACGAATCTCAACTGCAGCCATCAGAAACGAACAGATGATTATCACAAAACTATGGACGGCTCGGAAGGAGCACCATCGAAACTTTACCGTCAAGGATGGAGAAGATCTAGCTGCGCCGGGCACCGGAAACATTCCGAGGAACAAAGCGAAAGTTATTATCGGTCGCATTATACAGTGGAACCTGTTACTATTCATGGTCGCTAATGGTAGTAGCAGTGACTTCAACCACCGTAACAGCTTATAAGGTCAGTTACTCTCAAGGGCACCCTATTTGAACGCTAATGATTATATACAGAAAAAGGCAGTGAAACCGTACGGCGTCAAATGGTAAACAATCAAATATTCATCATTCTCTGCCACGCCAATGTCGGCAGTGATATATCCCATTGACTCCACCCAGTATTAAGAAAATCATTTTTATTTACAATAACAACGAATACTCGCACTTCGTTCATGCTAGATAAAATATGTACAGTTTTGGAACATATACCAATGAAACCATGCTTTCCTACCGTTTAGCTTTCAGCTGTCTTCGCTCAATCGAATCTTTGTACACATGAAAAAAAAATCCTAAGTCTAATTTAAAATGAAGAGTATTTTCTGACAAGAATCATTTCATCCTACGAATATTCAGAGTGAGGCGTCTCAAAGGTGTTCAAACTGGAATCCCTTGACGCTGAGCGTAATCGAAATGATCTCCTTTGCCGGATCCCCCAAGTCTCGCTTGTTGCGCTCGAGTATGTTCTGATCTTCCACGATGGGAACTGGTTCATCCACAGGTTCGAGATCGGAAATTTCCGCTAGAGCATTGATGTCCTTCAGGGTGCTTTCGCTCAAGTGCCGGGCGGTTCGTAATCCAGCTGGCAGTGGTGGCAAGTAGGTGGCTGGTGGGTTTGTACTGCTAGGTCTGTACGGCTGCGGGCAGTTTGGATCCAGTGATCCTGGGTAGCAAGCAGACGGAGTTGTCGTGTAGAATGGCCGTGGACAGGCCGGGTCTGGAGATCCTGGGTAACATGGTTGACGGGTTGTGGTTGTTGGTCTAGGGGTTGTTGGACAGCGTGGATCCGTTGATCCTGGGAAGCATCTGAGCGTTGGGGTTGTTGGAGGTGTCGGCCGTGGCGTAGTTGGGCACCGTGGATCGGTAGATCCTGGGAAACACCGAGGGGCAGGAGTGGCTGTCGGTCGAGGACAGCGTGGATCTGTGGAACCTGGATAGCATGCTGGTGCAGCAGTCGTCGTCGGTGCCGGTCTTGGCGTCGTTGGACATCTTGGATCAGAAGAGCCTTTTTGAATTAAAATAAGCCAATTAGTTCCAAATTCTCAACGGTAAAATAAATTCTCTCAAATACCTGGATAACATCTTGGAGCCGAAGTGGTTGTTGGGGTGGGTCGCGGAGTTGTTGGGCATCGTGGGTCAGATGATCCTACAGAAACAAAATATATGTATGTTAAAATCAAATCTTAAAATCAAACCGCCATTTAAAATACCTGGGAAGCAACGCAGGGCCGGTGTAGTTGAGACTGGTCGTGGACAACGGGGATCCAATGAACCTGGGTAACAAACTGGTGCTGCCGTTGTTGTTGGACTTGGTCGTGGAGTTGTCGGACACCTTGGATCGGTTGAACCTATGAAAAACATCAAGGACATTATTGAAGATTCATATCAAAGATCCCTATCAGTATACATACCAGGATAACATCTCAGCGCAGGAGTGGTCGTTGGAACCGGTCGTGGTGTTGTGGTTACAGGCCGTGGACAACGTGGGTCCGTGCTTCCTGGGTAGCAGTTGGGCCGAGAAGTGGTTTGTACAGGGCAGCGAGGATCAGTAGAGCCTGGATAACATCGTGGAGCAGCGGTAGTTTCGAGAACTGGTGGGAGATACGTGGCTGGTTGTATTGTAGGTCGAGGAGTTGTTGGGCACCGTGCATCCGTTGATCCTGGGTAGCATCGTGGAGCTGGAGGGGTTGTAGGTTTTGGTCGTGGAGTTGTGGGACACCGTGGGTCTGTCGATCCTGGGAAGCAGCGAGGAGATGGAGTTGTTGTTGGCTGAGGGCATCGAGGATCTGATGACCCTGGGTAGCATCGTGGAGCCGGAGGGGTTGTTGGTTGAGGGCATCGAGGATCTGTCGATCCTGGGAAGCATCGTGGGGCTGGCGTGGTTGTTGGTTGTGGCCGTGGTGTCGTAGGACAACGAGGATCTGATGACCCTGGGTAGCATCGTGGAGCCGAAGTGGTTGTTGGTTGTGGGCAGCGGGGATCTGTCGATCCTGGGTAGCATCGTGGGGCTGGAGTGGTTGTTGGTTGCGGGCAGCGGGGATCTGATGATCCTGGGAAGCAGCGTAGAGCCGGAGTGGTTGTTGGTTGTGGCCGTGGTGTTGTAGGACAACGAGGATCTGAAGATCCTGGGTAACATCGTGGAGCTGGAGGGGTTGTTGGCTGAGGACATCGAGGATCTGTCGATCCTGGGAAGCATCGTGGGGCTGGCGTGGTCGTTGGTTGTGGCCGTGGTGTCGTAGGACAACGAGTATCTGTTGATCCTGGGTAGCATCGCGGGGCTGGAGTGGTCGTTGGTTGTGGGCACCGGGGATCTGTTGATCCTGGGAAGCAGCGTAGAGCCGGAGTTGTGGTTGCTTGTGGCCGTGGTGTCGTAGGACAACGAGGATCTGTTGATCCTGGGTAGCATCGTGGAGCCGGAGGGGTTGTTGGTTGAGGGCATCGAGGATCTGAAGATCCTGGGAAGCACCGTGGAGCCGGAGGCGTTGTTGGCTGAGGGCATCGAGGATCTGTCGATCCTGGGAAACATCGTGGGGCTGGCGTGGTCGTTGGTTGTGGCCGTGGTGTCGTAGGACAACGAGGATCTGTTGATCCTGGGTAGCATCGAGGGGCTGGAGTGGTTGTTGGTTGCGGACAGCGGGGATCTGATGATCCTGGGAAGCAGCGTAGAGCCGGAGTGGTTGTTGGTTGTGGTCGTGGTGTTGTAGGACAACGAGGATCTGAAGATCCTGGGTAACATCGTGGAGCTGGAGGGGTTGTTGGCTGAGGGCATCGAGGATCTGTCGATCCTGGGAAGCAACGTGGGGCTGGCGTGGTCGTTGGTTGTGGCCGTGGTGTCGTAGGACAACGAGGATCTGTTGATCCTGGGTAGCAGCGAGGAGCAGGAGTGGTTGTTGGTTGTGGGCACCGGGGATCTGTTGATCCTGGATAGCAGCGTGGAGCAGGAGTGGTCGTTGGTTGAGGCCGTGGTGTCGTAGGACAACGAGGATCAGTTGATCCTGGGAAGCATCGTGGAGCAGGAGTGGTTGTTGACTGTGGGCATCGAGGATCTGAAGATCCTGGATAGCACCGTGGTGCAGGTGCAGTTGTTGGTTGGGGTCGCGGAGAAGTCGGGCATCGAGGATCCGTGGATCCGGGATAACATCTGGGTGGTGGAGTAGTTGTTGGTGCCGGTCGAGGTGTTGTAGTCTGTGGACATCTAACATCGGTACTTCCCGGATAGCATCGTAGTGGAGGGGGAGTTGTTGGTCTAGGAGTTGTTTGTGGGCAGCGGGGATCAGTCGATCCCGGATAGCATCGTGGGGCTGCCGTAGTTGGAGGAGGAGTTGGGCACCGAGGATCAGTAGAACCTTGAATCAAAAACATATCTTCAATGTTGTTCAATTCCACATAGATGACCATCATACCTGGATAACATCTCGGAGTGGCAGTGGTGCTAGGTTCCACTGGAGGCAGGTACGTTGGAGCAGCAGTTGTTTGCGGGCACCTAAGATCAGTTGATCCAGGGTAGCAACGAGGTGCTTGTGTGGTCGGTCTTGGTGTCGTAGGACATCTTGGATCGGGTGAACCTGACAAAGAGCAATCAATTTACATGAATCTTCCTTTTTTATAATATTGACTACAACTTACCAGGATAACAAGCTGGAGTAGTCGATGGTGGAGGTCTTGGAGCGGTGGGACACCTTGGATCCGATGATCCAGGGTAACATCTTGGCGCAGGTGTTGTTTGAGGGCAGCGTGGGTCAGGTGATCCTAAAGTTGTGAATATGCATTATTGAACTGTGAATTTATTCAACACCTCTAAAGAAATACCTGGATAACATCGCGGAGCAGCGGTTGTCGTTGGCACGGGGCGCTGCGTAGTTGTTTGAGGACAGCGAGAATCGGTGCTGCCAGGATAACAGCGGAGAGGAGCAGGGGTAGTGGTTTGAGGACACCTTGGATCAGTAGAACCAGGGAAGCATCGTGGAGCCTGTGTAGTTGGTGGTGGGGTAGGGCACCGAGGATCTGTGGAACCTGCATTGTGATGCAATCGATTAGAAAATCATACGTGGAAAAGATAAATGTGAAGAACATACCAGGATAGCATCTAGGAGCAGGTGTAGTAGTGGGAACCGGTCTTGGAGTGGTTGTTTGTGGACATCTAGGATCAGTACTACCAGGGAAACACCGCGGTGATGGAGGTGTGGTTGGTCTAGGAGTAGTTTGTGGGCATCTTGGATCCGTAGATCCGGGATAGCATCTCGGTGCGGGTGGGGTGGTTGGAGCTGGTCGTGGGGTGGTGGTTTGTGGGCATCTAGGATCTGTGCTTCCTGGATAGCATCGTAGTGGAGCCGGGGTAGTTGGCCTGGGTGTGGTTTGTGGGCATCTGGGATCGGTTGATCCAGGATAGCAACGGGGTGCAGGAGGTGCGGTCGGTGCTGGTTTTGCAGTAGTTGGACAGCGAGGATCTGTTGAACCCGGAGAGCATCGTGGAGCTTGCGTGGTTTGTGGGCACCGTGAATCAGTTGATCCAGGGAAGCAACGAGGTGCTTGCGTTGTAGTTGGCACAGTTGGACATCTAGGATCGGTGGATCCAGGATAACAACGTGGACCCGGTGTAGTTGTTGGTACTGGTCGTGATGTTGTTGTTTGTGGACATCTAGGGTCGGTACTTCCTGGGTAGCATCGTGGTGAAGGAGGAGTCGTAGGACGAGGAGTAGTTTGAGGACATCTTGGATCAGGTGAACCTGGATAACATCTTGGAGCAGCAGTGGTCGGACGGAATGTAGTGGTAGTTGGCTCTTCTGGAGGCAAATAAGTTGGGGAATCCGTCTTTTCATAACATGCTGGATCACGGGATCCAGGGTAACATCTTGGAGTAGGAGTTGTCTGTGGGCAGCGTAGATCAGGGGAACCTGGATAACACCGAGGAGCTTGTGTCGTTTGCGGGCAACGTGTATCAGGGGATCCTGGATAGCATCGTGGAGGTGCTGGTGTAGTTGGAGCAGGTGCACGTGTTGTTGGAGGAGCTGGTCTCGTAGCACCCGGGCACCGTGGATCGGTAGTGCCTGGAGGGCATCGTAGAACCGGAGTACGGCACCGAGGATCGTTAGATCCCGGGAAACATGACGGACCAGATTCAGCATCAATTTCTTCCACTGGTCTGGGAGTGGATGGAACCGGTCGAGGACAGCGAGGGTCATTCGAGCCTGGATAACAGTCCGGTGCAGAGGTGGTCTTTTGGCTTTCAACCGGTGGTAGATATGTAGGTGCCTCTGTCTGTGGGCGAGTGGGTCTGGTGCCCCTGCCAGTTGGACGAGTACCTCGCCCTGTCGGACGTGTTCCACGAGTCGTAGACGGGCGGAAAGTCGTAGGACATCTAGGATCATTCGATCCCGGGAAACAACGCAGAGGAGCTGGAGTAGTTTCTGGTTTAGGACATCTAGGATCATTTGATCCCGGGAAACAACGCAGGGGAGCTGGAGTAGTTTCTGGTTTAGGACATCGTGGATCGGTGGATCCAGGGAAGCATCGAGGAGCAGCTGTTGTGGTGGGTACAGTTGGACAGCGTGGATCAGTGGATCCAGGGTAGCATCGAGGAGCAGCTGGTGTTGTGGGGACAGTTGGACAGCGTGGATCAGAGGATCCAGGGAAGCAACGTAGTGGTGCTGGAGTTGTTATTGGCACTGCTGTCGAAGGCTGACGGCATCGTGGATCTCTGGAACCGCGGTAGCAAGTCGGTTTTTCAGTTACCAGAACTGCGTTGCAACGATCATCAGTGGAGCCAGGTGTGCATACAAATTCGGTTGTAACTGTGATTGGCGGTCGAGTTCTTCGGCGAGGTGGAGCTGTAGAAGCTGGAAGACGTATTACCGGAGCCACAGTTGATGGGGGTGTTGGACGAGGTGGTTGAGTTCTCTGTGGTGGCAATTGCGTCGTGTAGGTGCCTACAGTAGTGGATCTTGGGGGTTCTGTAGGTCTACGACCACGAGTAGGGAATGAAGCCGGAACAGTTTGCGGTGGGCGTGTTCCCCGTCGTGGCGGAAGGGTAGTAACTGGCGCTGGTCTTCGAGTTGTAGTAGGCTTATCAACGGCCTTGACCAATTCCTCAATTTCGCATACCGGAGGGCCACATCCTCCCCGGCAGATTTCGATGTCACATTTCAGGAAGACCTGCATTCGATCTGGGAACTTAAATGCCTTAATGTTGTTATGCAAAACAAGTGTGGCACCGGAGTTTCCTGTCTGTGTGGTCTTTTCCCACAAACCGAACAATTTCTTCTTTCGTGAGCAGCCATTTTTATCCGATAGCTGCAGTCTCCTGGTTCCAGATGCATCATACTCGGGGCTGTCGTATGCATAACAATCCTTAACCGATACATCATACTCGCCTTTGGGATCTCTCAAGTACACTAGGATACTAAGAGATTCTCCAATCTTGATAATGCTGGGAATAGGAGAAACGTTTGGATACGAACCGCGTTGGATGTCCATCCAGCATTCTACACCTCCGGTAGCAGTCGGAACGTTCACGACCTCCAACATGTCAACCACGAAGGGTTTGAAAAAGATGGTATTCTGTTGCTGCTCGACCTGACTGCATGAGATCCGCCGAGCAGTATCCCATGCTTCTTGGACATCCTCGTCAGTTTGGATTACCAACACGTTGTCAACGGACGAACACACCGAACAGGATGGCTTGCTGCCGCATCCGGCGAAGGGCACCGTAAAGGTAAACGATCGTCCTCCTTTGCCAGCCGAAACGTACCGACACTTGGCATCGTTGTAGTAGCCCTGACTGTAGATGACTCCCTGGAAGTCGGATTCGAACTCGATTGTTACCAGCATGCCATTTTTCTGGTCACACGTAACATCGATGGTCTCGATGAGGGTGTGGTCATGTCGGGACCCAACGGCTCCGTTGGCCTGTCGTGGATATTTCCTGCCCGCTGGCACTAGGGCATTCTCATCGTTGATGCTCGTCTGAGGAAAAAGTTGTGCCACCGTGGTCTGCAAAAAAAGGAACGGGAGAAAGGTATCAACATTTAGTGGATCGTAAACATTGCGTAAGAGGTGAACGGGTGGCCAAAATTGCCAACATTATCTCTAGTACGTAGTTTCATTGCCATGCCGTGGTGTTAGACTCCTTTTTATCTTTTCGGGGTTACAGCCCCGGTGTAGAAAGACGAACAAGGTAGAAGTGTTCGGTTCAACGAGTGAAGCAATTAAATATGGCCATTACTCCACTGCGAGTGTGCCGACGATTGACGGTAGTTTATTGAGCTCGCAATGGATTTCAATCATGAATCACGAACTTGGGCATAGTTAAACGAAACGATGCTAGCTCTGTACTGGTATTCCTTAATGAAATTACTTTTCGCAATATTCACGTTCCACACGGTGCGGTTCAATCATCCTTTCTTCATTGGCGTGCACAGGTCAAAAGCCAATTCAGAGTATTAGGCCCTTTGACTTAGAACGTCTATGAAGCCATACCAGACAAGCAACTCGTCCAAACCTGTGACGTAAACTATCTATCGGAACAGAAATGATGCAGTAATTTATCCGCCCAAAATCTGCTTCTTTCTCCCTCAATGTAATCGTACACAGGTGGTACGTGCCGTAAAGTTGGTTCAAATCCCATCCCCTTTACGCAACAAAAGAATTTTCGAATTGAATTTCGGTACACTGCACACAACGTTCTTTCTCTTCGACTACGCTGACTGACAATGCCGAGAGCTATGCAGAATAAAAACAAAGTTACACATATTCGACTGTTCCTAGATAGGAATATAGGACCAACGCACGTGTGCCTTTGGATGCTGGATGCTGGAAGTAAATTTGACATACAGCTGAGCCTGCCTCTCCGGGGAGTAACGAGTGGGTGGATTCGGATTACGATTATTTACAGCACGCATCCCTCTTTGCTCGTAGTCTCAGTGATAGACAGCGGAATCCTTCTCAAACAAAGGAACCAATAATGCAAAAGCCCTACACCACCAGAGTTTATACCGTGTTTGCGTCTGGATGGTTTCCTAGCGATACTTTCAGTTTTCACAAGATCATTCTGAGCTATGCCAGAATCACATAAATCAGCTCGTCGCTGATAGATATGCGATTTGCTGAGTGAAAGTTCAGGAAGTCAACCGAAGAGAACGGATTCAGGTTCACTGATAGCCGTGACCATCACAGTTTGGGTAATCGTGTTTAATATAAGGCATGTACTCGAAAAAAATGCACCAGACAAAAGTGTTCGCCAAAAATTTATTTTAAGTCGGATTTTCTTGAAACTTTCAGGGAATGAACAAATACATATGGATTGTGTTTCGGCATAATTTCTTTTTGTCAATTTCCTTTCCATCGCTGAAATCCCGCACCTTTTCCTTAAGACCCCTCATTACATTTTGTGCAATGGTGAAGCCGACCTTTTTGGTCACGTTCATCCATTCTTTCTTCAACTCCAACTCGTTCTGAAGCACCTTGGATGAATTTCGAACTTTGGCTTTCATTATGGCCCAAAAATGTTCCACCGGACGAATCTCGTTATTGTCTCTGTACTAATCCAACGTCGATCGCGCGTAATGGCATTATGCCAGGTACGGCCAAAATAATGTCTCGCCTCCGTGGGACCGCAGGAAGGGCAACAGACGCTTCTGGAGGCACTCGGTGCGGTAAATTTTGCTGTTGATGGTACCTATTGTGATGTACGGTTTACTCAGTTTACCGCATTGGCATATGGCCTGCCAGAGCAAGTATTTTTTGGCGAATTTGTCCACTTTCTTCTTCCTTATGTCTTCCGGAACATCAAAACGTCATTTAGCAAAGTAGAACTCCAGCCTCGGTATCTGCTTTGCGTCTGCTTTGATGTAGGTTTCGTCATCCATAACCACAAACATCGGTTTCGTTAAGCACTCTCGATACAGCTTCCTTGCGCGGGATTTGGCCGCCGTGTTTTGTTTCCGGACCATGAATACACAAAACCCAGCTCGTTTCATGGTTTGTTGAACAAACCAGGCGGAACACTTTGCCTTCAGAGCCGCGTCGTGAATCGAAAGGTGCGGATTACGCTTGAAATAATCCAACACCTTCCGGGCCTTCGATTTTCTTCCACTTCCAGCCCGCCGGTCGGTCGTCTGGGACTCCTTAAACGATTTTACCACCCGAGACACAGTTGTATGGGTGATTCCCAGTTGTCTTCCGATCCATCTCATGGTCGCAGTCGGATTTTCCATTTTTTTCGAGTACAAGCCTTAAGCATATTGGTTTACATTGTATGAACCAAGGTTTTATTAGAATGCCTAGATGAACAACAGGTGTATGGCAAAAGTTTGCTATAGGTAAAGCACCATAGAAGCGCCAACGGCTGGTTTAGTATTATAATTCATATAGGGCAGACGGAAATCCAAAAGACAATTAAAATTTGATTGAAAATTTGCTAAATTTTCAATTTCATGAAATTAATTTTCCTTACGATATTGCCTTATACTGTATAGTGTAAAAACACGACTAATTTGAATATCTCGGCTGCCAAACAAGTTCAGTCAACATACATATTCTTAGAGGAAATCGATTGGTGGAAGACATTTACCTGCTGAGATAGAGGGCCGGGATCAACCCGAGTTGCTGGTAAATTAGGAAATGTCACTATCATTCGACATAGATTTACATCTTACTTTACGTATATTACTGGAAATTGATAGTACTTAGTATATATGGTGTAACGACACCATGGCCACATTATAAAAATTGTCCTAGATGCTTGTGGTTTTTTTTTTTGCTGTGTCGTTCAAAATCATTAATCGTATTTAATAAGTAATTGATATTTTAAGGTAAAATGGCCATTAGACTTATGCAAAATTTGACTTTTTCGCTCCACAGTGCTTAAATGGTTTCAAATCGGGTCGAGATTAGCCTCCAAAAGTTACAACTCATTTGGTTAGAAACAGACTTCGCACAAACCATTTGAAGTTTACATGTAAATTACTATGGGAAATCTCAACTTTTTATTCATTGCCTTCTAGTCTTTTTCCATATTGAGCTGCAAAACAGTTCGATAGCTATTCTTATAGAAATACGACAGTACGAGTTTGTGTGATTCTGATATTTCCAGTGATCAAGAAGACAAGGAATGAATAACGCTTGATTATCCGGAGAACCAGGATATGGTCTATTTATTCCAAAATAAATTGTTATAATTTTTGTAAATGGATATGTGAAAGCAAATACGCCCATTTGGAAGATTATTCTTGTGTCAAAATGGTCTCTCTTATACCGAAGAAAAACGAAAATTTTAATTCAAAGCAGACATGATTTAACTAAGTTACTTGCTCAAAATCCTTTAAAAAAAATTCCAGATTCAATTCATAATGCATATAATAATATAATGCATTCAGTAAGCAGAGAGCCAAATTCTTCCTTGAAAAATAAAAATTTACATTACATTTGCTACGAAAATAATCCATTTGCAATAAAGGCAAAACAGTGGCGCCGGTGATGTACTGGTAAACGTGACTGCCTCTCACTCCAAAGAGCCTGTGTTCAATCCCAATCGGCGCCGTCGGGATTTTCTGAAGCATATATAAAATCTCTGATCACACCTTTCTTCGGAAGGGAAATAAAGCCGTTGGTCTCCGGTCCATGAGTTGATGGGTCGAAAGGTTCCCAAGTAACCAAAAGTTCCGCATTCAACAATTAAAATCACTTCCAAGTTCCATAAAGTTCAAATTAAGTTCCGACCGAACCTTTAAGTTCCATGAAGTTCAAATAAAGTTCCGACAGATCTTTCAAGTTCCATAAAGTTCAAATAAAGTGCCGATAGAACTTTCAGTTCTATAAAGTTCAAATAAAGTGCCGATAGAACTTTCAAGCCACATGAAGCAATCCGCACAAGTATTTATTAGTATCAAAATTTAATGTACGTGAATATGAAATGATCAGTAGCCCGAATAAGTTATAATTATTATATCTATGCAGTGCATCAACATTCTATCTTAGAGAAATAATTTTTTATAATTATTTCTTTAAGATTCTATTCAAAAATAATAAAATAAAGGGTAATTTCCTGGATTCGAACCCGTGTATTCGACATGCGATCTACGATTGCTAACCACTGCGCCACAAGTGTGTTGGAATACCATGCCAGCAAACACCAGTTTAAAATTCATCAAGGTGTTGTGTTTTGTATTCAAGTCAGTCAGCTGGCACCGAAAACTCCAACAGTAGGCGGGACAACAGCTCACTTAAATATATCTCAAATGACGTAGCGGTTGGTGCTGGGGCTCTCACGTAGAAGCACTGGGTTTAATTCTTCAAACAGCTCCAATGCTACTATTAATGCCGATAAATCAAAACACACTAATAACTGCCTTTAAAAATAACTTTCATAAAAGTGCGAACTTAATATAGAATCATAGACAAACAGACGTAACTATTTGAAAAACTTGTTCTTGAAAACATAGTATCTCAAAACATATAACCTCTGTAACGACATCTCTCTGGCTTCTCGCGGAAAACAAGCTTGCTCGCTAACTCGTAAACAATATTGCATAAAAGTTCTATAGAATGTATAGAAACGTCAAAGTGATCTGATGCCAGCGCTGCGGCGAGTAGTTCGCGGAACTGATAATATTCAAATCAACCGTTAAATTCATGAACGAAGATACACAATGAAGAGTTACGTCTGTTTGTCTGTGATAGAATATTGGTGTAGAGGACAAAAACCTTTATTAATTTATTTTCTAAAAGTTCCGTTCAAGTTCCGCCAGAAGCTGCTTAGATTGCTCTTCAATTATGGTACCGGAACTTTCAAGTTCTTATAACGACTTAAAAATGAGGCAGCTTAGAATTCTTTAGACCACCTTCAAACAAGCTGCTTAAGCCACAAATAGCCTTTTATCAGAACTTTTGGTTACTTGGGTTGGGTCCAGGTGTCGTTCATGAACCGATATACTATTGGGAGAGGCACACAGCCTATTTCTTCTTGGGATCATTTCAAGACCAACAGTTGAAAA